TGTAAAGGTTGAAGGTGTGATGTTTCATTGACTAAAAGCACTGCTACGTCCGATACAGTCTTCTCATTATCCAAGAGCTGTGCAAGATAAATGGTTTTGCCTTTGTGTTCTCTCTGGCTAAGTGGCTGCTTACACATTCACCCTGATGAACAATGAGTGTTGTCCAGCCATCTCAGTTAGATGATGAATGGGCTTCCTGGATTTTCGTGTGCTGCTCTCTCCACCATATAAAAAGATGGGCTTGAATAGTGTGCATTTGCTCTGTTTCTTGTGTACTGGGGAAGTGGAATTATTCAAAGCCTCTTTATGTGGCTTTAGTGCTAACTCTGGAGACAGTGTAAGTGAAAAGGAGAACATAAATCTCCCATAACAATTGATGAGTAATGCTCAATCATAGTCACATTCAGTTCGATAGAAGTGTGTATGTGTGTTACAGGCTTGTGAGTGTTTGCCTGTTTTAGCCTTGGTCTAGTAAGCAGGCATGCCATAATGGATTATGGGCCTTCAGTTGGGAACCTGCTTAGAAGTGACAGGGGTTCGCGCTCTCCCATAATCCTTTGGGCCTTTGTCTGAGTGCTGACAAGTAACTCGCCCTGAGAATATCAATGTGTATATCACTGTCCACATTTTGCCAAAGACTCAACCCCAGGTTCTTCTGTCAGGCCTTAACCACTTCATCACCTAATGGCTGATTGAAGGCAAATGTAGAAATAATTGGAAATATATATATATTTGCGCATCTTCTTAGAAACTAGGGATAAGATATAAATATAACAAGATTTTAATTTGCTGACCTGGTATATACAGGTGATTTAAGTAACATCTCTAAAGAAGCATGGATCATTTATTTTATAATAAATGATTTTATAATAAATAATATTTATTTATTTTATTTTTCATTTTTAGTTTTTTTAATTTAATTTATAATAATATTATTATTAATTTATTTTTAATTTATTTTCATTTTATGTTAATTAATTAATTAATTTATTTTATTTATAATAAAAATATTATTAATAATATTATTTTATTATCATAATAATAATAATGATCATTGATTCACCTTATCCGCTCACTGAGATTAGTCCATCTCTGCTCTCTCTGCATCTATGCGGGGCTGGTCTGACCTGTTCTCAAATAGGTGCACCGCTTTGTCTTTTTTTTGTCCCCTTTGGCAGTCCCATTGGGTTCCAGCAGTCCTGCGTGAAGGCTGTATGTTATACAGCTATCCAGCCGTCTCTAGACACCCACAGAATGTTCTATTTGGCATCAGGCAGACGCATGCGCTCATGGTCCACTGCCCTCCATCTGCTCGTTTATCCGAAAATAGAACCAGTAGAAGTTTTCTACTGAAAGATTTTTATAATTGTTTCACAGAGAACTTGCAATGAGAAATGGAATGTGTATTTGAGATGTAGAATATGGTATCAGCAATCAGGCTCTTCATTGAGTGTATATTCTGTATATACTGTACCGTATGTGTGTGTGTGTGTGTGTGTGTGTGTGTGTGTGTGTGTGTGTGTGAGACACTCTTAAGTGCTGGGGTCACACAGCCAGATGGTCACTCCACTCAGGCATCGCTACTGAATGACTCTTCCCATGTCTGTTGCTCCTTCTAAAACTCTAAAAGATATTTCCAAGAGTAAACAAACCAGCATGAGTCTCGTTTGCCCTTCTCCTTGCCTTTCTTTCCTTGAGCTACACAGAAATAACATTAGTAAGTTCAAATAGTGTTATTATGTCAGAAACTGCTCCTCTGTAACAACATTTACGAACTAGAAATGGCTTTGAATGCTGATGAAAATGCTGTATTTTGTGTTTGACCTTTATATTTTTCCCTTTTCATACTCGACACGAGGGCCTGAAAGGCTCAATTTGGCTGAATATGTTGCTTGTCTGTTAGCTGATCTCATTATGTGAGCACCATTAAAGGCTTTCCAGAGGTTTTGTGATTGAGAGGTACAGAACACATTCTGCTTGCGGAGTGACCGTTCACCTCAGTTCTTTCTGTCACTAGCCAAGTTTACATCCAGCTGTTTTAATGCAAGTTTTGGATATCACATTAAAAAAAACGCTGGATGCACATCAAGTCTAAAAAAACGTATGCGCTCCAATTAAGTCGGATAATTTTTTATGGGATAAGAACGAAGACATGCACATAACCTACGATGCAACACACATTTGCTGAATAAATCCCTCGATGCTCAACCAAATATTTTTGCCTCAACAGAGGATGTGATTAGATAACTGGATTAACCAGCGGATCAGTTTCATCTCGAATGTTTTAGTTATTCTGAAATGCCTGAGCCAAAGTCATTAAATATGTCATTGAAAATGTCTCACATGATTGCGTTCACAAACACCAGCATCTGAACACAAGATAACATAACAGCATTTGTTGCGTTTCGCCTGCGCGTTCATTTATCATTCAGGATAAAAGAGCCACATTTTCTTCCCTAATTGCAGCAATGTCCTAGCCTGGATGCCAGCCCGAACCCCGCCCACAATATTTTTTGGTCGGGAAGTTCGGTCTGGACTCGCTCCATTGAGGAGTAATTATGATCGGTTCAGAAATCGTCGGGCCAATCAAATTGCCAGGGCGGGCTTTATACGATGATGGACAGATGATCTGCAGTTACGTAATCATCACGTTATCAAAGAGCGCTTGGGTTGAACTGGTTTCCCTCAGAGATGACTGCCGCTGGAGAACTGAGATGTAGAGATCCCGCTATCGCGTCTGTTGTAAAAGAAATCGACAGCGCATTCATTTTAAAAGACGAACAGAGAACTGCAATCAAGGCATTTGTCGATCGGAAAGATGTGTTTGCCGTCCTTCCTACTGGATTCGGCAAAAGTTAAATTTATCAGCTGGCTCCGATGGTCGCTAAGAAAATGGGACGCAATGAAAACCCTGCTGTCGTTGTGGTTTCTCCTTTGGTCGCACTTTTGGAGGACCAAGTAAAAGAAGCAACACTCATTATTTTACTACTTCTTCCAGCGTGCGTGCAGTTGAGTTCTGTTGACAATTTTGTGTAGCTCATAAAAAAACACTTACTGCGTTGCTCTGATTGGTTGTAGGTCTATCCAATTGAGTGCAGAGTTTTTTTTTTCCTGGTTCGGTTAAGACACGCCTCATAATCAAAGCCCTATGGAGCAGTATCAGACTCACATTCTGACTAGAATATGAGTTTGACGAAGTCAGGCTAGCAACGTCCATTTTTATTAGACATATTTTGTGCCAATTTCCCAGGAAGTGATGATTGTTCTCTTGAACACATGGGATGGGAACGCCGCTTTATTCGCAAATGCTTTACGCAATATATTTTGCGCATAAGATACATTTGCAACTTTGGATGGAAACATAGCTATTGACAATGTTTATGAAGAGATTCTCGTGCATCTAAATAAATGTATTCTTTTTAACAGATTCTTTAAGATCTTTCGTATCTTCAGATTGCATGTAAATATAATGATTTATAGAGGGAACTGTTCAGTTGAAAGAGCAACACGAGATGAGATCTCAAAGAAATGCTATACATTATAATACACCTACTGTACGCGTACTGTGACCCAAGCTCAGCATAACAGAATGATTTGTCTATAGGCTGCGTATGGCTTGCCAAGTTCTTACAGTAAGTCTTAATCCAGAACAAATCACTCATGCCTGAAGACTTGCTACTGGGGGTGAATTGTCTTGCTTTGCACTTCAATCTCTGATTTCATACAATTACAGAGAAAAAATATTGCGAAAAGCGAAAGACGGTGTTGTTTGTTTGAGGGGAAAATAGATTCTGAATGCAAATGAGAGCGATATTAGAGGTGGGTGGAGAGAGGAAAAGTGACTTCAGGTTTATGGAATTTCATTTCTTCTCCCAACTCATTTTCTCTAGTTATGAAGAACTGTTGAGCTGATGAGGAACCGTTTGAGATAATGAGCTTATATAGTTCTGAAATGATATAGTGAGGTCTAAAAGTCCGAGACTCTTGGTTACTGTCATAACCCTCATTCCCTGAAGGACCCTGTAACACCTGCTGAATCCCGGGATCCCGTCTCAACTCCTCAGCACAAACCTGCATGAGTGAGTTGCCGGCAAGGTTATATATCCGTATGTCTGGTGGAATGGTTAGCCATGCAAATCTCACTCGCCAATGTCCAGTGGCCCGTTTTCTTACCACTCAAAGGTGATTGGGCTCTTAAGTGAGACCCTAATGTGTCAGTCATTCGATGTAACGTGGAACGTGACTGACTGATAGGGAACATTGTAGAATTTGTGTGCCATTACAAATGACCTATTAAGTGTACAAAATAACGATAAAATGGTGTGTGGGTTATCCATGTAGTGTTGGTAAACTATTAACTTAGCATTTATTCGGACAGACTCTTAGGTTTCTACAGTCATTTGTGATATCCAGGCTTTGAAAAGTTAATGAAACGAGTGATACATTTAAAAGTCATAAATGTTTCTAGTTTTGCTCTGGCTTACATAAAGTATTATCTAACCGATTAAATATTTTAGAGTAGATTTGCTGCACATGACATAACATCAGTCTGTTTGTTGTGGGTTTTATTGGAGACATTTGCTCATTAATAATAATAATAAATGCTTATATCAAGCAATTCCGCTTGGTACCTGGCATACAAATAGAAATGAATCCCAGCACAGCAGTCTCCCCGTCTCTGACATTATTTTTTTAAATCCTATCATGAATGAAAAAGTCATGGAAATGAAATGGAAATTCCAAGACTCTCTGCATTCATATTGAATACAGTATACGAAATCTCTCCAAAGGAGTCAGAATAATAATAATAATAAAAATGTCATCAGTAATTATAATCCCCTGCTTTCCATCTCAGCCTTCTGTTCACTAAACTTTAGTTTTATTTGGCTGGTCTTCTTCAGTCCTTCCTCCTATTTCTTTGGTCCAAAAATAAAATGCATACCCAGACAAATAATAAACTTCTGCTCTATTGATCGTTTGTTATTCTCTTTGTCTTTCAGAGGGATGCCAAAGGCCAGTATTTGTTCGACCTCATTTGCCACCATCTAAACCTGCTGGAGAAGGACTATTTTGGCATTAGATATGTCGATCCGGATAAACAACGGGTGAGTGTCCCGCCATGTGGCTCGTGTCGAACAGTCCAAGGTCAACGGTAATGCGCAGCACCAATTCATCATTTCTGCATTCATGTCCACAGCTTTTTTATGACGATAAAGCTTCACCTGTCAGGATACTCAAAGTGACTTTCGTTTCGTAGAGTGTATTGGTTGTGATGCCTAATAAGTGATGAATTCATGCGTGTTCTGGGAGGGCTGTGTTTGTATTGATCCTGCACTGGTCAGACTGACTCTCAGGGTTATACTGGAGTAAAGAGACAGCGCTGGTGATTGATGGAATGAACCTTCTAGAAGGACAGATTTGAAAATTGTAAATCATGTGAGGCCAGGCCCTTATGTTACTGTACGTTCACACCGCCGCCGACTTGAGCTTCCAAAGCGGCCGGAAGTCATTCATTTTCAATGGAAGCTGGCTTTTCTCAGCTGCAAGCAGCGTCAAATCCATCGGCGTCGGGTTTTGGGCATTTTGAGCGTCAATCAGAAAGTTGAAAGAAGCTCAACTTTATGGTAATGAGCTGTGACCTGGTTCAGCGGCAAGCAGCGGCAAAACGCCAGCAACCAATCGGAATATAGACCTCCTTCGCGCTGGCTGATTCCGGAGAAACATGCAATGTAAATGGAAAGAGAAGCTAATAATCGCCGTTGCTGGGTTTCCTATCCTTTATGACATGACGTTGTTTGCTTATAGGGACCGCATGAGCGCAACTTTTATTTGAAATATTTACGAACGCTCGTTTTAAAGCGGGAATGCAATTAATTTGCTCACGGCGACACCGGTTTGACCGCAAATAATAATAATAATAGCTAACTATTCTTTTTTCCCCGACCAAATGTGACCAAAACGGTTATAAAAATGCTGTCATTATAAAATGTTTCTTCAATGTATTGCTAGTTTTTTTCTGTTTATTACATTTTATGTTGTGACACTTCTATTCTCCCTGCAACGTCAGAGCGTTCAAAGCGTCCAAAGCGTCAACAAGCTTCCCCGTACTTTTTGACAAGCCTCCTTGACAGGGCGGCCAGAGCTTCTTTGACGCTCAAGTCGGCGGCGGTGTGAACGTACAGTTAGGGATGTTACATATGACGCTGTAGCTTCAAAGCGCGTACGCGCGTACACAATGCGTACGCAGCGTAATTTCTCATGAAGCGTATTGTTCTCAGAGAAACACGTGATCAATAAAAAACAAAGCCTTACTTTTTTTCCAGTCACGTGAATGCTTCACTTCGCGTGTCAGAATGTTTGAATCCAGACCACTACTCTGCAGGTTTATGGAAGTTCAAGTCCATTTACTAACACACACAGACACACACACATACATACAGTATATACACGTATATATATATATATATATATATATACAGTATATGTATTTTTTATATATATATATATTTTACAAATCAACGGGAAAAACTACAAACTGACTACAAAATGGCACATGGGACAGGAAGTAATACACAAGTCCTTACAAGACACAAGAAACAGTGTGAGGAACAGACTCCTGCCAGTTACCCTAGTGCTCCATGTTTCATATAGTCAATGTCAATATGGCTAAACTTGCAGAATTGTCACTTTTGCTTCCAGAATGTAAATATCGAATTAATCTAACTTGATTTAAAAATGCTTTTAGAGGTAATGGGATTGTAGTCATTGTTTTTTGTGGTTTCTTTACTGTTACGGTTTACAATATACTTTATTAATGTGGTCAGTGGTTATACTCGAGTGAAAAGAATATCTAAAACACCTGTCCTAAAATCAGTGTTATTTTTATTTATTATTAATGTACTATTATTAATATTTTGAATTAGTTTTCATTTAATGCTAGTGTAAGTTAAAGAAATGTCATTATGGACTTGTCTAATTGTTTAAATATTTTGAATAGATAATAGTATTTACATTAAATGTAAATTTTCAAAATTGTAATCTATTTTTTATTTATTTTTAAATATTAATAAACATTCTGTATAGCTCTCTAATGAAATCCTGTTGAATTGGAGATCTGTCCTGAACTGACCTTTGTCTGCTAAACGCAAACCTGAGAGTGTACAGGCTTTACATACATACTCTAGAGTTTCTTTTTTCATAATCTGTCTTTTTCACTGACCCCCTTTGGGAGCCTCTCGTATTGAGTGACATAAATAATAATGAGGACATCTAACTGATGCCCGTCAGTAGACGACACAATGGAACGACGTTAGCGTCTGCTAAGTGCTCACAATTCCCTTCAGAACATTTCTAGTTGACAAAATATGCCACAGATTAGACAACAATCCAGAATACTATAATGTGGCATGGGAAATATTGTCCAAAAAGCTTTCAGGTCGCTATAATCTGAAATCAAATTCCAATAGCCTGATGCTATTTCTAGACATTAGCCTACTGGCACTAAAACCCCACAATACTTTCTTTCTTAAATAAATCCAATGGCTCTGTTTGGCTGATTTGGCTTATCTAGGGCTGCACACAATAGCAGTGATAGAATCTCAGCGTGACGTCGAAGATGTGCTAATGTTTCGCTCCGGAGAAGAAAGAAATGAGATTAAATGATTAATAAATCTACCCTTCCCCCCCATCTCACACTCATAAAATCTCTGTACATCTACCCACACTGACCACCTGCTCCTGTGTAATTATGTGTTAGATGAAATATAGATGTAATATGTGTGTGTGCATGTGATCTGTCAAAATGTGTGTGTGTGAATTAAAACTCTCTCTTCTGTTGTTTTAGCACTGGCTGGAGTTCACCAAGTCAATTTCTAAGCAGATGAAATGTAAGTATCACCAGTCAGATCTTATTTATAGCGTGCTAGATTCCATAAAGGAGCAATTATGAACATCATCACTATAGTGACTGTAATGAAGCATGCTAATGGGATTCATGGGTACTATACATTTACAAATGGTGTGTTCTTAAATAGGAGCTGTCATTTGATGATGTGGTGAACTTTGCTTGTGTTTAACTGGCCATGAAATGCGCTTAAGGCCCGTTCACATCAAGAGTGATAACTATAACGATAACTATATTAGCGTCCACGCCAACGCACAATAGGGTTCTGTTTATTATAAACGCGTGCTGCAGTTATGTCAGCCGCTTTAAATGCTCAAGGTGAATTCTGATTGGCTGCCACTGTTTTATTGTATGTCAGCTCGGTAAAATCTGTTTCTCTGTGTACTTATTGTTATAGTTGTGGTGTGGACTTGCATATTCTTGTACATTGGGGTGATTGAACTAAAACTATGTTCTTGGTGTGAACGTTCTTTACTCAACACTCACTTATATGATTCTGATCTCACACAAACTACAATGAAGAAACAATGCATTTCTTAATCAGTATTTTTGTCATCCTTGAAGCAAGATACATTTACTTGAGAAGCAAAACTTGATTTTATAGACAGTTTTGTAGAAGGTACAGAGAAATTATTCTGACATATTGAGTTTTTAGTAATTTAAAAGCCGAATTTAAAAAAATCTTTCCACATTTAATTTTACTTCCTACTTAAAAGTTTTTTTTAAAAGTTGAAACATTTCTTAGCCTTAGAACAGATTGATGAGATTATGAGACACTGGAGAGTTTCTCATTAAAGTAACTTTAATTTCAAACTTTGTAAAATAGTCTGTTTAATCACAATCTTCCTTACTTCATAAGATGTTGAAGTTAAATTCAGGAACAGCAGATTTTATAGTTGTTTGACATGTTGTTTGACCTGCGTAATTTTTGTACTATGGGGTCAAACTGAAATTATTAGGCATAACAGAGTAAAACAGTACAATCATTAATTTTTAGTAGTACTAGGGTAAAGTACACATTTTCCAAAATAATAGTTAATTATAGTATTTAACTTGAAGTACTGTTACATAAGTTATTTCGTATTACAGTAATAATGTTTAGTAAATATTTTATGATTTTTTTTTAGCCCATTGGCAGATTGCTTCCTCATGTTTTAATCATAAATCTCTTAAAATTGTGTTAGATTCATGTTTAATGCCAGTGGGGTAAGAAACGTAATTCTTGATATATTCTCTGCATATTCATATATATTGCAAAATTACTTAATATTTAATGCCGTGTTGCTTTTAAGTAAACTTGTTTTTAAAGGTGTTTAAAATATTATTTTCTGACAAGACTAAAATACTGATTAAGGCAGTGGTTCTCAAACCCCATTGTCCAACACAAATACACAGAGATATCTCCTGTACTGAACTTTGTTCATATATTTAATTAATAACATTTTGTGATTTTGTATTCCAGAACTGTGTCCTTTTAATAAAACAATAGAATATAATTTTTTTTATATGAATTCTTTTTTTAGGATTTAAATTTAGAGTAAGATTATTGTAATATATTGATAAACATTACTCATTTAAATATTTAAGTCATCCTGCGGCTGCCTTGCAAGTTTGCTGAGGCCCCCTTGTGGGCCCCGGGCCCCTTGTTGAGAACTACTGGATAAAGGTAACACTTTGTTCAGTGTGGATGTTAATCTTATGTTTTTTTTTCCCCTCCACACAGCACAACCTCCGTTCACCATGTGTCTGCGGGTGAAGTTCTACCCACCAGATCCTGCTGCTCTAAAGGAGGAGATCACCAGGTATGAGCTATCACAATGAATGAATTCTGCTTTTTGCATTCACTCCTTAAGTCACATAATTAAATGGCACCTGATTACAGAGCTGGCTCAGTTTCTGGCATAAAATATTTCCTTAAGCGTAGGCCTAAAGCTCTACTTTGATTAAGTGTTGCAAACGAAATGGCAACAGATGTTTGGCAGGACCAGAAAGCCATTCGACTTTGCTGTGCCGGTGGTGCTTTGAGACAGTGTGCTTCTTTAAGCTTAATATTGCCAGTTTGCAATAGAGCACTGCAGTGATAATGTATTTTTGGATGTTAGCATCACTCTGGTTCCCGCAACAAAAACCCAAAATGATTTTTCCATTGGATTTTGGATTATTGCAGAAAATGAGCCCTGTGACCAAAGAAAGTCTATGATACTGACAGAGACAGAGGGTTTGGAATCCGGCCTCCAAGAGGCTTTTATTTAACTGAAAATTAACATTAAATGTCCAAAGAGGGGAAGCGTCCATGGGGATAAAAGTGTCCGAAATAAACAGGGGATCTGGTGTCCTTGCGGTGCTGGTGCACGTGAAGGAAAGGCAGTGTTCCGAGGAGTTGGTCCAGGTAAAGGGGGTCTGAGGCGCGAGGGGTTGCGGCTTCTCAGCGGCCCATCTTCACAAGCGTAAAGGGTCCTGGCCATTCTCAGCCTGACGGCGGCGACGCTTGCACCCCTGCATGGCTTAGCAGTGCGGGAATCCTTCCCTGCTCCCCTCCTGGGCTTACGAGAAGAGACCGCTCTCCCGAGGAGAAGCGTGGAGATGACGAGGCTCTATTCCATTCAGGTGTGCCTCATCATGCGCCGCCTGTACGGGTTCTTACAGCACCCCTTCTCTCTGGTTTCACTCTTATCTCCATCAAAGAACTTATTCAGTTAACATAGGCCAGTATTCTTCATCCCCTGCACCTGTGCTTCATGGTGTCCCCCAGGGATCCATTCTGGGCCCAGTACTCTTCTGCCTCTATATGCTCCCCCTAGGAAAACGTATTCGAAAATTTAACGTCACTTTCCATTTTTATGCAGATGATTCCCAATTATACATCCCACTAAAATCATGCAACTCAATGCAACCTCTTTTAGACTGCTTAAAAGAAATCAAAATTTGGATGAGTAACACCCGCAGACACATCGGGTTCGAATCCACTGTGAGACACCAATGTGTCCCTGAGCAAGACACTTAACCCCTAATTGCTCCAGAGGCGTGCGACCTCTGACATGCATAGCAATTGTAAGTCACTTTGGATAAAAGCGTTAGCTAATGAATAAATAAAAAAATAAAAAAATGAACAACTTTCTTCAGTTGAACGAGAACAAAACTGAAGTTATCATCTTTGGCCCCTCAAGATCAAAAACTGCCACCACCGCTGACCTTGGTCCCCTTGCACCATACTTTAAAACTCACGCACGTAATTTAGGCGTTATTTTTGACTCAGAACTCAATTTAGTAAAAACAAGTATCAGCTGTAGTAAAATCCAGTTTCTATCAGTTGAGAATAATTTCCAAACTCAAGCCTTTTCTGTTATTCAAAGATTTGGAAAAAGTCATTCATGCCTTCATAACCTCCCGTTTAGACTACTGTAATTCTCTATACTTTGGTCTCCCTCTGACTCTAGTGGCACGGCTTCAGATGGTTCAAAAAGCAGCGGCCAGACTGCTCACAAACACAAAAAAACGTGAACACATCACACCCGTCCTAGCCTCTTTGCATTGGCTTCCTGTCCAGTCTAGGATACAATTTAAAATACTGCTAATGGTTTTTAAATCTCTACGCGCACTGGCCCCAAGCTACTTAGCAGATACCATTCAGCTCCAAGCAACTCCCAGAGCCCTCAGATCTTCCAGTCAGGGCCTGCTGCATGTCCCACGGTCCCGGCTAAAGCGGAAGGGTGACAGAGCCTTCTCTGTTGCTGGCCCTCAGCTGTGGAACCGACTGCCACCCGAAATCAGAAATGCCCCCCATATTGATATTTTTAAAGCTAGACTTAAAACCCATCTTTTTATGTTGGCCTTTTAGGCATCTTAAATGTTTTTCCTGCTAAGTGTGTTTTAACCTGCTGTCTCTCTGTAATGTTGTTTTAGCCTAAACTAAATGTATTTGTAAATGTATTTCTATTACATGTGTTTTATTACCCTGTGGCCAGTACAACTATGTACAGCACTTTGGTCAGCGCAAGCTGTTTTAAATGTGCTATAGAAATAAACTTTACTTACTTAGCCTACTCTCTCTCTCACACACACTCCAGTCGGGAACCTGGCGAAGGGCTTCAGTGACAGGGTGATGCTGATAATAAGGGGGAGGCAGTCATTCAGTCACACATGATAATGTTCACACAACTTTTATGAAGTTCAAAGCCTAAATACAATCGCCAAAAGTAAAACGCTAAGCTCAGGCTATAAACGAACTACAACATGGTTGCATGACTTCAATGTCACCATTAATAATCTTCCGACAACACTTTCAGTCTTTATTTAAAAACATTTTCCCTTGACAGTTTGATCTAGAATAGTTTGCAAGAGCGCTAGTGAAACAATGAGGCTTTAGTGAGTAGAAGGCTGCATCTGAAATCGCATACTTCCCTACTATATAGCAGACGAAAAACAGTATGTCTGAATTCACAGAACTCATAAAAAGTAGGCAAAAAGTATCCGGATGACCCACTACTTCCGCAGAGATTCTGAAGTGTGCAAACGATGGACACTTTACTATCCCATGAGGCCACAGGAGAGGATTGATGACTGGAGGTGAATCGACGTAACTGACGCTGATAGGTCACATGACAAGGGCAACATGGCGAATCTAGTACGTCCGGATTACATTCATACTACACACACTCATATTATATACAAACTTTTTTAGCAGTCGTGAAGTAATTACTTAATCAAAATAAGTACCTACTCAAGAGAGTTTTGGACACAGCTGATGAGTTTAACTGTGATGACGCTTAATTGTCCCTGACAACTTCTGTAGTTCCATTTAGCCATTTGTTAACAACCGCCTTTGTCAAAACAAATAAACGGTTTTAAAAAATCACAAGTGGGTATAATGTATTTTATGCCATAGAATAAAATGTGAGCAATGCATTTCTTGAGCTTGTGTTAACCACAGACATTTTTCAAGCATTTAAACAAAACCCATAAAAAAACATTGACTTAAAGCAACACTAAGTAAGATTATTTACCTTAAAATAATGTTTCTAAACTCGTTTCAGTGGTTCATTAAGTCGTAACAGGGTGAAAGGCACTTATGCCTCCGCTTTGCGGTCCTATATCTGCTATAACCACGCTATGTAAGATTGCCAGATCGGGTCGAGTTTCTGTAGTTCTAATGAGACATAAGAAAACTACAAATTTGACTTGCTTTACGTCAAGCGTTACAATAGTTATTATTTTGTTTTTCTTCGTTTCTGATGTCACAACACATCATACTTTCATAAAATCATGCAACATACTCTACCTTGTCTGTGGACATCGTTCATTCCAAAGCCGGTGCTGGATAAACAGCGAGCGTGCGTGCGACAGTAGGATGCGGTAGGCTAAAGTATTTACGACAGCGGTAATGGACAATTCCGCTTCCAACCTGTAGGGCGACCGCAGAGGAAAAGTTACTTGGTGTTGCTTTAAGGACGACTTTAGCCGGAGGTGCTAAAATGGCAGTTGTGGGTTTTGGCCTACAGAAATGTGTCAAACCTGCAGCAATCTGTTATTGTAAAATCCCAGAATGCACTGGTTAAAAGCGTTACATCTTCAAAGAAGTTACTGTTCGCATACTATGGACTGTCTAAAAATTCTATAGTAACCAAAACCTCCTTAAAATGAAACAAACTGAGTGCTTGTAGACACTATATATAGTATGTGAACACCAAGTAACTTCTCGAGATTGCTCATCGAAATAGAAAGGATCTTAAAGCACCCTAAACATATGCAAGTGCCTAAAGCCCTCTCATCTTGCTGTTACTCTCAAGATTCAAAGCTGTTTCTCCCTCACTGCTGAGAGAAGATGTATGGTCAGTGACTCTGAACAGATTCCTCTGAATGATACATGATTAGCCTCCAGCTTTCATCCCCTCTCGATCAGTCTGCAATGAGGTCACCCAGAAATTCACACACTCGACCTGAAAAAAGATCTTATGAGACTGAGTGCTTCTTAGAACCTAATGAGGGCCGCTTTATTGACAGTGTGCGCATATAAGAGACAAACGCACAGCGTGGTATGGATTTTTATGTGTTTTTCAGGTAGAGATTGATGTGTGAAGTTGAGGGAGACCGCTAGTGTTTACTGTACTGTGAAATACATTGCTTGTGGGGAACACAAAGTAATAATTCACACTGAAATGAGAGGAGAAGTGGGAAAGAGACATGGAACAAGAGGATGAACAGGGTTGAAGGCTGGAAATTAATTAGATGAGAGAGAGGCAGGTGGAGAGAATGAACAGAAAGACTAATGAGAGGTATGGGTGAGGAATAGAGGGAAATTATCTGAAAGAAAATGACATTGTTTAGAGTATATGGAAGAATTAGCATATTCCCCGTGAGAAAAAAAGAAATGCATCCACCTGGAGCAAAGAAAAATAAAGTGATTCTGTCTCTCTCTCTGCACTTTCTTCTGCCGCTCATAATTCCACAGTAAAACCATACTGAGAGTTCTCTTACGAGAGGTTCTCTCGTATTGCGTAAGCTAGCTTACGCTGCGGGAAAGATTCATCTTTGCTGAGATATTGAAGCCAAAAAATTATTTCATAATTTTGTTTCCATACACAACGCAGTTCCTCTGCGGCAGACCTAGAGCGGGCTAGCTAGCAGCTCATTGGTTCGCTCAGAGAGAACTGCTTAAGCCTATGGGAGAGCGGGGCTGAACCCGCTTCCAATGAGAGGCGCCCGCGCGCTCATTGCGTCATGACCCGCCAGAATGGGCGTGGCCATGGTGTATATAAGGAGCTCTCCCAGGCTTATATGTTGATTCATTTCATCTTCAGCAAGC